AGTAGCCACAGCAAGACATGGAGAACGATGATGGAGCAAAAAAAATAGGAATTAAGGAGGCAAAGAACATACATGGACCTGAAAGCCTAGAAGAGATTAATAAGATAAATTTAGCTGAGAGTTGAAGGTTAGCAAATAAATTATGAAGCCAATACAACAGAGGTCGAGCTAGCTGAATGCCACAGTGGTGGAGTGAAGGGTTTGAGAATGAGGAGGCAGACTGCAGCATTCAAAATAAATTGTGGAAGTGGTGTCAGAAGAGCTATGACCAAAGGAGAGTATAAAAATAATAAAGGCATAATGAAGTAAGAAAAATCTAGGAAAGTAGCCCTTTGCAAAAATCATATTCAGAAAACAAAAATGTAATTACAATGTACCAATTCCAGTAACTAAGGGTGTGAATATCCTCTAGCAATGCTGTAATGTGCCAGTGATTCTGCAGTACCAAGACAAGAGCTTTTTTTTTTAAAAACATCAGTGACAAATCAAATTTTAAATGCCAGTCGCAGTCTAGTTAACTTGGTCACATTGCATGTTGTACAATTGAAGCCCCGACTTGGAAAAATCCCACAAATTTTCCTTCAAGTTTAAAACAAGAAAATAAATCAGTCCACATATACTATTGAAAATTAATACCTAAATTTAACCTCTAAACAGCCAAAGTCAAAAGCAAAGACAGTCCAAATCTTTGCTACTGCCCATCTACCTGAAACACACACAATCCGTGATATCAGCGACATTGTAGTTTAGACCTTGCTAACTGATATGGTGTTTTTTTCATGAATGGTGAGGTTGTGGGGAGGTGTGTAGGAAGCGAAGAAGAAAGGGACAAACTATTAATTACAAAACTTTGCAAGCACAATCTGCAATAACACCCGCTCAATAAAAAGGTGCATGTATCTGACATGGGATGCCCAAGGGACGACTTCTTCAGCCCACTCCAGAAAATTGACAACGTCTTGTGCCAATTCAACAATTTCTTCTAATTCGCAAGTATACAGAATACAATTAAAAGAAATGTCAAATATGCAGAGAAACCATTTAAAGCAATCACATACAACTTAAAACTTCAATCCAAGGAGAAAATTTTTTTGAATGTGCATTTTCAGAAACAGAACCTCAATACACCAAAATTCATTGAATTTAACTTTGTTTTTGAAGCCATAAAAAATGACTAATGCTGAATATTACCAATAAACAATCAAGAGACTCAATGAACAAAATTTGATTTTATTTTCAAATGCAAAAATGTTTGCATTTATTAATGCCAGATTTGAAATTTAACTGTGGAATACATTACCAAATGAATACTAATAAAAGCTTGAGCAGACTGGCCTCATTCGTTAGAATACACTGATGGCTAAAATTAAAAAAAAAAGCTCAGATGAAATCCCTGATGGCTGTATACAAGAAACATCAAGAGATGGCTAACCAATATTCCCTAGAAATAAGCTCCCAGTGGAGACTTTGCTCTTCATTAGCCTTCTCCAATATATTTCAGAACTATTTCCAATGCAGAGTTTAGTTTCTACTCTTATTTTTTGAGCAAGTATTTTTTAAAACAGAAATACTGATAATCAGTTCCTAAAAAGCACATACCTTCAAGAGATTTTCTCTCAGCAGCTCGGAGAAGAGGATGCAACCACAAGTTGTTTATTAACTATATTTTCCACAGATTAAAAACATGATGGAAATTCTCAATAGAAATGAAGGCACAAGCTACAATTCAGAAAAAAAATTCTAAGCAATAATGAATTTGGGAGTTCATGGTTAAAATTCTGGTTAGTTAATCAAAATGTAAAACAGATACAATATTAATGTAATAAGTGATACAACTGAGCAATCCACACCAGGCAAATACATTTGTTTTCCTTCAATTTAAACAGAAAAGCACAACTTTGGGAGTTAGACATCAATTAATACAATATACAGATCAGTATAGCCTCATTCAAATGATGTAATTCTATTCAATTTAATACATTAACTACACACAACAGTGCAGGCACTCCCAACACATGATTGCAACTCATCTTTTTTGCTTTCTCCAAGTGAAACAAAACCTTTTCAGATCCCCGCAGTACAAGTGGTGAAACTCGGAATTACATGATTTTTTTTTTACAAGACTACAAGTGCTGACTCAAAACCATTTCTCCAGGTGGGATGTAATGTACCCCAAGGGTAGCCCCCATCCCTACTTTCTTCCCACAGAACACACCTACCTCTCCATCGCTCACACCTGCTTCCTGGTTTAATCTAAAAACATGAATTAATAAACCATCACCTTGGTGTGTTGGAAAATTATTCCATGTCTCCTCCCACTTTGCTTTACCCTGACGTGTTTGAAAAGCAATGGGCCAACCCAACACAAAACAAAAAATGCTGCTCTTAAGAACAAAAAAACACAAATATGTAGTCTTGAAAGAGAAAACATTACTATTAACTTGTAAGTGCAACAGGAAGGTCAGATGTACAGGGCAATATATATGAAGAATGCCAATTAAATGCCAATCACCATGTCCCCGCTCCCCACATCAGGTAGCCTGGATTTGGTACGTGTCAAACTATTTGCTCAGGCTCTTGTAACAAAATGCTCTCCTTTCACAAAAAGAAAGTTACTAAAAAAATTGACAGAAAAGAAATTGTGAACAATGTGAAATGCTGAAGCGATAGCTTATTACATGATTTATATTTTTAAGAGCCCAAAACACAGCAAATAAAAATATTCTACTAAAAAGGTGTAATGTTAGAGCAATTAATCACTTAAATACTGCTTGTTGAATCAATACTCTGAAGTAATCCTTAATTGGATAGGAAGGACTACATTAAGCAGAAAGCAGCAACTGCCCTAACAGTCCATATTGAACTCCTGAATAGGCATGTATAAATTCTACCTCTACCTCTGGGCCAAAAGGTTCAAGTCCCACCTGTCCTGGAGATGTTTTAAAAAATGTCCATATAGGTTGATGAAAAATATCTAAACTAAAAGTTGAAATAAGAATAATGAAAAATAAAAAAGTTGTTAGAAATATCTATCCGAAAGTTTCAGAATAGAGTGAAAGTATTATACAGTTTATTGTGCATTAATATTCTTCTAGCAGTCAATCATTCATTTCTACCTCAATGTTACCTAAAAACTATTCAAATATACTGTGAGTTGTATCTAATTTACAACTACATTCCAGAATACAATTTACAGTTGATAAAAAAAACACAACCTGCTAGACTAAGTGCCAGCTGAATCCAGTGATCTTGGAATTCATTTGTTAAATCTCAGCAGCACAGGAAATACTAAAGATTAAAGTACAGAACAAGAATAGGGAGAATGGCAATTTTAAAAAGGAGACAAAAAAACTTAGACAGGTATTTCATTTTTTAGATAAGAGAATCAATCTGTATTGCTCTCGCATTTGTCTTTGCTTGCCAGCAGATGAATTTCACCAACAAAATAGTCACTTGCAAATGTCTGACATGATGCCTTTCCTTCAGCGTTACTGAGCCAAAATCCTGGAACTCCTTGCTTTACAGCATTGCATGCCTACTTACAGAAAATGGACCGCAACAGCTCAAGAATGTAGCTCACCACAACCTTCATCAAGGCAACTAGGGATGGGCGATAAATGCTGGCCTAGCCAGTAATGCCCACATTCCATGAATGAATAAAAAGAAATTTAAATCTCTAGCACGAGCTGCTAAAAACTCCATGGCTATCACTCAGCTGACAGGGCAGCAATCCTGAACAATGAAATTAGGGAGGGTGAAATTTCATTCATCAGGTCCAGGATCAAAGTTTGCTAGGGCTGCATCTGCAGATTGTGGGTGTTTTCAATGAATGTGCACTCTCAAAACAAGGCAAGTGGGATTTGGGTGCGTTGGAGTCAGTCACAGAAGGAGTTCACCGAATAGTATCTATTGCCACAGGGTTGGAAGTGAACAAAACTATTTTTTGAAACTGACTTCCTCATACCTTGGAGATGGTAAGAACTGCCAACGCTGGAGTCAGAGATAACAGTGTGGAGCTGGAGGAGCACAGCAGGCCTGCTGAATTGTAGGAGTAAGACAACAAAGAGTACTAACATGTCTGTAAAACGGTAAAATATTTTGAGGCACTTTATGGAGACATGATCAAAAAAACACAAATCAAAGTGGTCTTGGTTAAATAATTGTGTTTTAAAGAGGGGCCCAAAAAGGTGAATTTAATAAGTAGGCCTTAAAAGCTAAGCTCAAAGCACTAATGGTGGGAAGAGGGGAGTAGAAAGCCTGAATGAGCATTGGAATAAGTGAAGCTGGAAGATGAAAAATATACGGCTGAAGATTGCAAACAGTAGGTGGGCACATTCAGGCAATCCTAAATAACAAAGTAGGTAGTTTTTGCACTGCAGCAACTGGAAGCTTAGTTTGGGTTCGAAACAGACTCTGAAGATTACTTCAATCGTAACGATCATCAGAGATGTGATCCAGCTATGCATAAGTTAGGCAGCATTGGAATTGAAGAGGTGAAGGTCAAGACCTTACAAGCTGGTAAAGTGAATAGGTTTTATGGCCACAAGAACACTGAAGGTGGAGGCGAGAGGTGCTTTAGCAGGTTAACAACTGCAAATGCATCCTGATGAGCAGAAGAGTTGCATTTTACTGTTACTCTCCTGGTTAAATGACATGACACCGCAAAACAATTTTCAGCAAGATCAAAACTCTTGTTCTTGAACGGAAAGTGGGCAAAGCAAGAACTGTTAAATTTAGTACACAAGTATTAGCCAAATAAGAAAAATGTGTAAAGTAGCAGACAAAATAGGAAGTAATGAAAACAGAGAAAGAAAGAATAAAATGGTAACAACAAAGTCAAACCAGGAATAAAAATACAGAAATGATTTGTTTAGGATTGCATTCAAAGTGTACATTCCGGTCAGCTTATTTACAACAATCACTTAAATTGCCCATCTTTAATATGTTTATGGGGTGGGGGTAGAAAAGAAAGGCAAGTAAGAGAATGCAGCAGTATTTACCATGGTGTGCTTCTGTGGCAGGAGCTGGTGATGCAGAGGATGATACTGGTGGATCAACTGAAGAAGGTGGCCTCCTTGCAAGAGGTGCCCCAATGGCTGGAAATGTTGCTACTTTCGCTCTGTCGGGTTGATAACTTTGGTTGATATGATGGGGCATTGAAAGGGGTGGACCTAAATGCAGAACAGAGTTTGACTGCAAACAACTGTACGACAGTATCCAGTTGAGACAGTAATAAATATCCAAACAGAATACTGGGGGAAAAAAAAACAAAATTCTAGCAGACCACCAGTCATAGGAACAAACAAATGGCCCTGATTTCCAATATTCCAGACTGTTTGTCTCCCTACATTATGGGCTCTAACAAATCTTGCGAGGTTGGGCTAATTTAAATGTTAATGATGGACTCCCAGGTGGGCTCGGGATGGTTGGGGACAGGGAGCAGTAAGAAATTGTTCCAACCTTGAAGCAAGGTTTTAATTTCTTTTGGCACTGTGTTAAGTGTTTTAATTAAAATATCATTCAAGGTTGTCACATTGATCAGGGCAACGAATTGCATTCAATTACTGTGGAGAACGAATATATGTAAAACAGAAAAATGACAAACAGCAAAAGCAGCTGGTCCATCAAATCTGTTCCATAATGTTGCTGCATTTAAGCATCATCACCTGCTCCCACCCATCAATGAGTAGCCATATCAACTTCCATTAGGCAAAAAAAAAGTTTGAAAACTAAGTCAATTCACAGGGAAGAGAGAAATTTAGGGAATTTAGAAGGTGACAGAAATGAGGGCTAGGAACCACAGACAGCATGAGGAACCTCATACAACATGCCACAAATTCCCTGGGCTCAAACTCAGCTGGGAAATCTCCAACTCCTTTCTGCATTGCTACAATAAACCTGCAATAACTGCACAAGTTCGCAACTTGGTCCAAAGGTTCCAGCCTCTCTATACATGGAACCCAGTTCTCTGTTTAAATAACTGATGTAAGTGTCCTCTGGTTCTCCTCAACTAATATAATTCAAATTATCTAGCATCACAGACATGTCTAGTCCCATCATTATTTTAAACAAGAACAGTTAATTACATGGTTAAAATGTCTAATTTTGAGACAAATCATGCTTTAAAAGGTTAATTGCAGAAATTATATAAACAATACCTGATTTTTTTCAAATGCCTTTCATGCTTTGTTCTGAAATACATCCTAACTTTCCACTTGTTTTGTGAAATTCAACATGTAAAATTATTTCAGTTTAACTGCTAATATACCCTATAGTGCCTACCCACAGTTTCCGTACTTCCTAGCAAAGGACAATGTCTGGACAGGCCATAGACAGGCCATAAGAAAGCAAAGAATGGAGTCTATCAGTCAGGGAGCAATAGTATTGGCTACTCAATAAATTAAGAATATAAAAATAGATCAACAGCAGGCTACTTGGCCCCATGAGCCTACTCCACTATTCAACACGACAATGGCTAATCTGATTGTGGCCTTAACTCCACTTTCCTGGCTGCCTTCCACGACCCTGGACTCTCAAGTAGTTCAAAAATCTGTCACAGCCCTTGAATATATTCAATGACCCAGCCTCCACTGCTCTCCGTGGAAGATAATTCCAAACATTAACAATGTTAAGTGAAGAAATACCTCTTCATCGCCAACTTCACTGCACTCAGTTAAGCAGATTATGACCGTAACAAAAATTTATTAAATTATCAAATCACTTTCTCAAAACCAAGTTAACTCTGCTTGATTGTATTTTGACTTTCTACATGTCTTGCTACTACTTCCTTAATGATGGAATCCTTCATGTTCCCACTAACCCATTATTGTTGTGAGAGTGGCCTACAGTTTCCTGATTTCTGTCTCCCTTGATGTTAGTTGGGTGCCATTCCTGGCCAGATTGTCCAGCTCAAATGCAACAGGTTGCATTGGCTGAGGGAGAGGGACGAAAAGTGGCAAAGAACAATTATTTTACTTTTTGCTTCAACATTTTGCCCTATCTTAAAACTAGAAATAGCTCTGTCAAGGGTACAATATATAAAAAAACACAGCCAATGTTGACCAATATTCAACAGAAAAATCATAAATAAAGAACGAAACAAACACAAGAAGCAAAGGCCTTGAGACTGTTAAGGTCATCAAAATGAATAAGATGCAAGAGTAGTTAATTTAGCAGATCACACATGCTAAACGCAGTAATTGTACCTAATTAACTTATGCCAGACGCTATAATAGTAACGAACTTGGCTTCAGCTTTAGAATAAAGGGAAAAGGAAATCAACCAGGATTTCTGCTCAGGATCTCTATCCAGTTATCCATTCTACTGTTTTAGGTAGATATCCTGCATCTAATAGCCTACTACAGCTCGTGTGTTTAAAACTATCTGCTGCGGAGCAATACAGGATGAGAGGCCATAGTTTTAGGATAAGGGATAGCAACTTTGACAGAGACAAGGAGAAATTACTTCTCTCAAAGGATTGTAAAATTGTGGAATTCATTACCCCAGAGTGCAGCAGATGGCATAACACTGAGCAAATCTAAGGACCTGGTAGACTGATTGAAGGAAAGTGGGGTTGAGGCCAAGATGACAAGAGTCATGATCGTATTGAATGGGGGGGGGGGGGGGGGAAGCGACTTGAAAGGTTGGATTGTCTACTCCTGCTCCTAGTTCTTATATTCTAATGAAGCTCGTCTTTCATCTTACTTCTTCTTTAATTTGGTTTAAGTGGTTGCCTACTTCATTGTCAAGTAGAAAACAATACAGACAAAGGCATTGTATAACAATTTAAAGAATGAACATTCTTCATAAACACAAATTTATTCCTTTTAAACAAAATTAATTTAATACAAGGCGCATTGTAACAAGAGTTCGGAATGTATTTTTGTTTTTTTTTGTTAAAACAACTAGGTTCAAAGCTGCTCTGATTTAACAGAATATAAATCAGTGCCATTTTAAAAAAATTGCTTTAAAACTTATGAAATACTTGAATAACTAAGGATAATGTATAATTTTTAGGGATTATTTGATAGATTCGTCACAGAAGGTAAAATGCATAGGGCTGCTGATTAAACTCAAAAAAAAATGCACCATGTATTGTATCTCTTGTTCACTGCTTTGGGGAAAACAAAACAAAAATATCCCCTACCTGTACTTGTCTGGCTATTTGCAGAGGAAGCAACAGCAGGCAGATTGATAACAGGCCCTGTTGATGTTGTCATCAAAGCTCTGGGTAAGGGTTGCCATGACGCAGCAGCATCACCAGCAGGATAAGGCTGAAAAGATGCTTGAATGGGTCTCTGGCCAGTTTCTGGCAGTGGTTTCACATGACCGGATAAGACACCGACTAAAGGCTGAGCGGCAACAGGATGAACAGTCTGTGAGGTTAAATGAGCATTATATTGGGTATTGAAAACAGGCATTGGATGATGATATGAGAAACCAGGATAAGAAGAACTGGGGGGAATACCCTGAGTAGTACTTTGAGAAGGTACATTGTAGTGAACTTGACCAGGATAGTGTCCACCACTTGGAACATAACCAACTTGCGGAGGAGTGCTTACAAACACCGGGTCAAACCGAGGGCCCGCAGCGATCAAATTAGGACCCAAGGGAAGCGCATTGTGCATCTGACCAGGTCCTTGAGGAGTACCCAATGATGTAGGACATAAAGAAGGTCTGACAATGTTGTGGACAGATGCCTGGTAGTTATTCTGGTAGTAAGTAAAGTCGTATAGTCCAGCTGTGGGGGCAAGTGGTGCTTTACTTGGCACTTGCTGATGACATTCTGGAGCAGTACTGCTGTTCTGCAGAGGTGCTCCATGTCCAGTCGAGAGAGGCTGCTGCATAGACAACAAATTCAGCGTAGAGCCTGAAATGAAAAGGAAATATAACTATAGCAAATGCTCATGAAATAATCAGTTAAGTTACATATGGTAATTTGAGAGAAACAATACCTTGGAAAAATAATTCAACACTGCATTTGTATTTTTAACCATGGTACATCCAATAGTGACAGTCTTTTCTTCCTAAAGTTACAGCTCCCAAATATTGACTACACACCATTGCATTCCAAAAATAATTTGTTGCTCGAGTCAGCTATCATTTGTGGCACAGTGATAGCACTCTCGCCTTTGAATCAAAGTTTTCAGTTCAAGTCCCACATCAGAGATTTGGGCACATGATCTATCTCAGATGACAATCCAGTGCAATTCTGAAGTAGCAGTAAACTGTTGGAGACATCATGTTTTGGATGAGACGTTAGACCAAGGCTACACGTGCACCCGCTGGTGCTTATAGAAATCCCATTGTATTATTCAAGGAAAAGCAGGGATTTTCCACCTTGCCCTAAGCAATATTTATCCCTCAAAAAAAAAACAACAACAACAACACCACCACCAAAATCAAATAAGTTTGTTTGTTACTTCATTATGTTCTGAACCAAGGTGTGTACAACATTCCTTACAATCCAGTTCTTTGGGACGTTTTGATGTTATGAATTGCATTCTACAACATCGGTCTTTGCTTCTCCTTTACGTTAGTGATAAAAGACGCCATGTCAATGCAACAATATTTTAAAATTAATTTAAATCTTCATTCCCTGCAACTATCCAATTGCAACATCTCTAATTGAAAACAAAACTGCGAGAACCTGATTTCAGAAGCAAAAATTGCAGAGGACTCATACACTTGGTCCGGAAACTAATAGGACTGCATTCTGGTCCTACAGCAAATCTATCTCTTGACTGAAACCAAAATATTCTGGATACTGGAAATCTGAAATTAGAAGGGAAGATGCTGGAGAAACTCCGCAGGTTTGGCAATATCTGTGGTACCACTTATGAAGACTAATTATTGGACATGAAATATTGATTTTAATTCTCTCTCTCTGCAGATGCTGCCAGATCTGCTGAGTTTCTGCAGCACATTTTATTTCTGTTTTAGGTTCCCAGCATGTTTATACATCTCTCTCGACTTCAGCCTTTGGTCCAACTACTAAATTTAAGAAATGATTCTGAGTTTAAGGAAGGGCTACATAATGACTTTATAAAACATTATGAAATTAACTACATTTTATAGAAACAGCCCCTGCTAACTCTCTTCCTTATCAAAAGGATTAAAGAAACTGGACAGCATAAAGCCATTATTTGTTCAAGAGTGCATAGGCCTGCTTGTAAGACTTTCCAGGCTGCTACTATAGGACCTCACGCACCATATCTACATAAACTAGCCAAGTAAGGCTAATACGACAGCTTAACAAGAGATAAGCAGAAGGTTAACCGTATCAGTTAGGAGCTTAAAGGGAAAATATTTTGGGTATGTGCCCCATTCTAAATGTACAGATGAATGGAAGGTGCAACTGAAGGAGTGAGTGATTGGTGTGAAATACTCACCAGGCGCTAAAAATGAAGTACATAAAGAAGCAGAGATAGTAGGAACTGCAGATGCTGGAGAATCTTAGATAACCAGGTGGAGAGCTGGATGAACACAGCAGGCCAAGCAGTATCAGAGGAGCAGGAAGGCTGACGTTTCGGGCCTAGACCCTTCTTCAGAAATGGGCTTCGCAGTGGGGTTAAAATTGTTTCAGAGGTAGTAGGAACTGCAGATACTGGAGAATCTGAGATAACAAGGTGTAGAGCTGGGTGAACGCAGCAGGCCAAACAGCAGAGGAGCAGGAAGACTGACGTTTCGGTCTAGGCCTGTGTTCATCCAGCTATACACCTTGTTATCTTACATAAAGAAGCAATAGGGCACTTGTGGCATGGTGGTAATGCTCCTACATCTTGGCCAGAAGACCAGTTCAAAATCCACCTGTTCCACAGTCGTGTCATGACTTGTGTGAGCAGGTTGATGAAAAATATAAAGACGCAATCAAGAAGCAAAGAGCACAGACGAAAGGAGAAGGCTTTTTAGGGTTTCCAGCTTCAGTTTAACATCAGCCTAAAGTCGAGGAAGGGATCATTATGGCGGCATTAGAAAGCAGGCCCTTCTATGCATCCAATTTGTGATCAATAAATGTTCATAAGTCTCAGGTCATGTGTTTTCTATGTTTAATCTGCTTGTATTATATTTGAACTGTAGCTTCTCAAAAACTACTTTAAGCCACTTGTGACTCCAATTCTTTTGATCAGCCTGTTACTACAGATTAAATTGTTTCAGCGTGTCAGGAGCGAGGAAACAAGGTTAGGAGTTAGAGGCCATGACTTATTTGCATTGTGAAAACTGTAAGCTGTTTTGATCAGAGGGGATCAAAAAACATTTTGAGTGAAGCCAGAACAACATCAGCATTAACAGTTCACTGGAACAGTTGATAGATAGCCTGTTTTAGCAAATACGCATACCTGGGGAGAAAGACATCCTGAGAATTTTTACATAGAATGAGGACACAAGTCACAGAATCAGATCATTCAGGCCAAATAGTCCGTGCCAGAGTTTATACTCCACTCGAGCCTCCTCCCATCTTTTCTCATTGAAATCAACAATAATTATCTATTTCCTTCTCCCTCAAAAGCTTGTTAAGCTTCCGTTCAAATGCTATTCACTTTAATCACTTCCTCTGGTAGCAGGTTCCATACTCTTATCACTCTACATAAAGAAATTTCTTCTCAGTTGGATTTTGTAGTGACTATTGATGACCTCCAGTCATGCTCCTTCTCCACAAGAGGACACATTTGCTCTATCTCTGACAAAACTCTATAATTTAAAAACCCCTATTAGTTCACTCGTCAACCTCTGTTTTCCAATAGAGAAGAGAACCAGCCTGCCAATCATTGCCTGATATGTAGACCCATATATTTCTGGTACCATCTTTGTAAATCTTTTCCCCATCCTCTCCAGTGCCTGTATATTCTTTCTATATTACAGTGACCAGAATGGCATGCAGTACTCATATGGTCTAAGATGCGTTACAAGTTAAGCCTAAATCTTTCTGTTCAATTCCATCCCTATGGATATAATGCCTCATGCTTGGTTTGGGCTCTCTTTCTCAAACACTTCTAACCTCTAGTTAATAGAGAACTATATATCTACATCACAAAAACCAGAGTCTGGAATGAACTGCATCAGGATCTGCTTGTGAGTAGATGCATACCAGTATTGCTCAAGCACCCATTAATGCCAGGATAGCAACTACTGAAGGTCCACAATCAAGGCCACACAAAAGCTTTTTCTGATGAAGGGTCTAGGCCCGAAACGTCAGCCTTTCTGCTCCTATGATGCTGCTTGGCCTGCTGTGTTCATCCAGCCCTGCACCTTGTTGTCTCGGATTCTCCAGCATCTGCAGTTCCTACTATCTCCCATACAAAAGCTATATGCTAGAAGGGATAGCCCATTGCCTTATTTTAATTGAAACCGGTTGGACCACTTTCTTGAACGCTGTAACGAATACATTGTGGAGGTTGAAAGGAACAGACAGACTCATTTTTCTCCTCACACTCAGTCAGACAGGTGCCAACCCTGCCAAAGAGAGGCTGGAGAGGAAGACTGTGTGAATTTGTAAACGGAGTTCACAGCTGGTTGCTGCTGTGCATCAGGTTTCCCTGGGAACAGTGGCCACCCTTTTCATTGCAAAGATGATGGGAGACCAGATGCACATACTACAGGCTATCAATGATTATCATTGAGTCTGGTTGCTCCACCACCATCCTTCCTGGTCCCCAAAGGAATACAAAGTAGCCACCTTTGTCAACTGAGGTACAAGTTCTCAAGGCAGTACCAGATATATTTGGAAATTGAGAAAACAAGGCCAGACCTAAAGATATTAGCAGATTAATACATGCTCACTACTCTTATTCAGCTGAGATCATACAATACATTCATAACACCACTGGGTGAATTTAAAGCAGATCATTGTTCATAGATTAGTTTCAGGAAGAAAGAGGAGGTCGGAAACAAACTTTTGTTTGATTCAAAATGCTGCCAGTTCTGTGCTTTAAGAAAACAAACATTAAAATTACGATATGAAAGTAAACCTGACTTTATACGGAGTTTGAGGGAAAGGGAGAGAATGTGAAAGTTTATAAGATTCACTGATGTATGAACGTGACTGTTTAATGCATCCATTTCAATAAAAGATTGCACACCTGGAACTGGGATTGAAAATGCATTATATTTTAAGTTAACGGCGCTGTTATTATTTTGTTTTCATGAAACCGTACTTGTAGACACCGAAGAGCATTTCACAAGAAAAGAGAGACCTGTCAGCCTTGAAATTACGTTGACTCAGATGTCTGGTAGAAATTCAATTTATATCTGTTCTAAACACTTTGGGCTCTTGGGTAAGGCCATAATAGACTCTTTATTTCTCTTTTTAAGAGATTATAGAGATGATGACTTTCAGGTCTATAAGAATGCTGATAAAGCTGCCAAATCTGTTGCTGCACTAAGAATGTAAAAACTTAAATGCATGCATCAAGAGCTACAGCACAGGGACAATTCTGACTAAGGTTTCAGATTTCAAAGACTTGTCCTTAATCCTTTCAGGCCATTTGTTATTTTCCAAGACAATGTGTTTAAAGAGGGGAGATATGAAAGGCACCTGCACTCATTTTTGCCTATAATATAGAAGTATCAAGCAAAACCAAGCCTGGACGTCGTGTCTAAGATAGGAACTGATAGAATAAATTGACTGGAGTTGTTAGTCCAGGCACTCGAAATTTAAGGGGATAATTACATTTTCATTTAAGAGAAACAGCCAAAAAGAAATCAGGTTGGTTCCTTTGTTTTAGGGAAGGAAATTTTAGGGAAAATAAAACTGAACATTGACATTAATTGTCAGACCAAGAACACAACTACTTGAATTTGAAGTAACTTTGAAACGATAAAATATCAGAGACAATTTAACCTGATATTTTTGAAGAAATATTGTGAAAAGATTAAAGAGCAAAAAGTGTTACCGATTGAAATTAAGTGAGAATTTTTGAATTTGTTTTAAAGATTGCATCAAAAAATTTCCTCCAGGACTCACAAATGAGACCAAATGGTATTCAATGGGGATGCTCCACTCAGAACAGAAGATACAGAATGGAAAACCATACCACCAAACGGATTAATAGATTCTATTGTTGATTTTTCAAAGGTGGTATCAATCAATCAATGTAAAGTCTAATGAAAGGAAGGATGAGACTAATAAGTTTCTCTTGGAGGTGTTTGCATCTGTTGCCCCAAAAAAAAAACCCACAACCTGACTATTCGAGGTGAAAAAGACAATGATTTTGAGACAGATGCCACCTGCTACCTTTAACACCAGACCTTCAGGTAAGATTTTCTGAAATTCCAAGAATGACTCATCACATGACATTTACAGTCTGAGATTGGGATACCAGTGCATGAGCAAGTAATGATGACTTGCTGAATTAACATATGGAAATGCATGGTGAATGTGCACCAAAGTGAAATGGTTAATACATCCGGTGGGATGACAGACCATTTTTAAATGATCAAGTCATTGAAGTAATTATCATATAGAAACCGACCCTGAAACAATCAGGATAGGATTTAAGATACTGGAACCTATCAAAATTGAAGAGAAATATTAAGAAAATCAGAGACAGAACTGTCAAGAATTATCCACAAGGTGGATGCAGGTGAATACAGAACTGTAGAATCAGGTTCACGTATGATCTGTTGTTTAAAACATAGGTAATTGCAACACACAAATAGTTAGAATCTGTAGCACACACGCAAAATGTTAGAAAATATTATTGCATGGATGATCTGCAGATGGGGAGAGCCAAATTGAGTTGGTGGTGCTCACATTACCGGAAAGGTTTTCATCATTATTCCTGGAGACATATCAAGAATGTGTTGGTGACAATAACTTGGCATGTTACACTATGGCATCTGAATAAGTAGTTAGGGAATCAAACCATTAACTTTGAAATAACTTGTTTAGACAACAGCCAATAATGATAAATCAGTAATGATACTTCCCTTTGTGGGGTGATTGGAAGAAATGATGTTATAAAATCTGAAGAAACTATTCAAATATTATAGAGATTGTGCTTGATCATTCTCTCTTAAGGAAGATTTCACAGCCTATTATGAAATCATAGTATGATTCTGCTATAGAAAATCATTTATTAAATAATCTGGACTGTGCTAACAGTTACACTGTTCTAATTCCATGTTCTAACTAATCTAAGATCATCAGCTGGGCCCACAGTGTGAAGCATCTGCATGTGCTAGAAGCTACATACTAAATATTCAAGACCCCTCTTTATGCAGGCAAGAGGAACTTGTATATAGATTGCATACTCTTTTTAAAAAAAAAAGGGTCATGGAGGCAGCCAAATTTCTCATGCAATTCAGAACAACTCCCTAACCAAACACCTGTTTTTGCTGCATCACCAGAAGCACACTGTTCTCATTCTGCTTGTCTCTTTTCTCCCCAGTAAGTCTGTTTCTTGTATTCACTTGGATTACGATGCAAGATGAAAAGTATCAACTTATTTTCTCCTTTTAGGAATTAAGTGATACCTTTAGCCTGGTGTCTTCCCCGTGATGGAGTATCTTGTAATTTCCCCTACCTAAAATAATAGTTATTGCACCTAACGCTTTCCTGCACTAGAAAATTTAAAATATTTCCATTCTTATTTTTTCCTGTTGTCATCATCTATTATGTTGGTATAAATTCCAGAGAACAGAATGGACGTAGACCCATTTTCCAGCTCATATACCATGTAGACATTGAAGAACAGCCTGATAACATATGTTTTCCTCGGAAATAAACTTGGTTACAGCATTGGAATGGTTGATTTATTTAACCACATTTTCTCCCAACTCATTTCTATACTGAATGTAGAGCCACAGTATGAAATAACTTGCACAGCAACTTATGTTCTCAACAAGCATTTTAATCACTGTTAAATAGGAAAACAGTAGTGATCTAATGCACAAAGGTCACCCAAGCTTCAGGTGAGATGCATTCTGCGTGGCGAGTGAACGTAAGAGCTGGACACTGTTTCAAGAGGCAGTCACTAGATTAATTACCTTGAATTTAGTCAGTGGTGAGGGTCAGAAGGTGTGACTACAAGTGAGATAGGTAGAGGGATCCAGGAGGTAGTTCCGAAACAGCCTCAGTACTTGAGCTTATCTAACAGGTTTGAGATTCTTGCTGCTTGTGTTGATGGGAGTCCCTGTGTAGGGAGAATGAGCAAAGTCACCATAGCACCGTGGTACAGACTGCCAGTCAAGAGGGATAAGAAAAAGAGAATTGTAGTTCTAATCAAGGATAGTATAGTTAGAGGAACTGATACTATGCTCTGTGGCATGGATCGAGACCCCCGAAAGCTGCATTGGCTGCCTGATGCCGGGTTTCAGGATATCTCATCTGGGGGGCTGCAGAGGGGGTGGGAGGGGAAGATCCAGTTGTTGTGGTCCACGTAGGTACTAACAACACAGACAGAAACAGGAAAGAGTTTCGCTGAGGGAGTATGAGCAACTAGGAGCTAAATTAAAAGGGAGGACCAAAAAGCTAATAATGACTGGATTACTACCCGAGCCACCAGCTAATTGGCCAGGGTCAACAAGATTAAAGAGGTAAACACGTGGCTCAAAAGATGGGTGTGGCAGAAACGGGTTCAAATTCATGCAACACTGGCACCAGCACTCGGGAAGGAGGAAGCTGCGCGAATAGGACAGACTCCATCCGAATCACACTGGGACCAGAGCCCTGACAAAGCGCATAACTAGGGCTGTGGATAAGGCTTTAAATTAAATAGTTGTGGGGAAGGGGTCGGGGTGGAAATTCAGTTGCATGGAACGTTATGAAAAAAACGTTATGAAAAAAACGTAATGGTTTGGGGGAGTGGAGGATTCAGAGGTTATTAAAGTTTCCAGAACAAGTAACAGGTCAGCGTGTATGGAAAAGGTCAGGAATCTAACCTCAGGCACAGCAGATGGAGGGACAACTATGAGAAAGGAGGCAGCCAACACAGGTCTGAGTTTGTTGTATTTAAATGCAAGCAGTATGTGATGTAACATGGAGAAACAATAATGGGGAAACAAATGACAGAAGAAGTGAACAGGTTCTTTGCATCAGTTTTCACGGACATAGCTTTAAATTGAAGGGTGATAGATATAGGACAGACGTCAGAGATAGGTTCTTTACTCAGAGTAGCAAGGGCGTGGAATGCCCTGCCTGTAAAAGTAGTAGACTCGGCAACTTTAAGGGCATTTAAATGGTCATTGGATAAACATATGGATGATAATGGAATAGTGTAGGTTAGATAGGCTTCAGACTGGTTTCACAGGTCGGCGCAAAATCGAGGGCCGAAGAGCCTGTACTGCGCTGTAATGTTCTATGTTCTATAGCATACCAGAACTTCAACAGGGTCAGGTGGCAGAAGTGAGTGTAGCGACCACCAAGGAGAAGGTCCTGGGAAAACTGAAAGGTCTGGAAGTGGATAAATCACCTGGACAAGATGGACTACACCCCAGGGTTCTGAAAGAGATACCCAAGGAGACTGTGGAGGCATTGGCGGTGATCTTTCAGGAATCACTGGAGTCAGGGAGGGTCCCAGAGGACTGGAAAATGGCTGATGTAACACCCCTGTTTAGGAAGGGAGAGAAGCAAGAGACAGAAAACCAAATGCTGGTTAGCCTGACCTCAGTTACTAGTAAGATTTTAGGGACCATTATTAAGGATGAGATCATGGACTACTTGGGAGCACATGGTAAAATAGGGCTGAGAGCATGGCTTCATCAAAGGGAGGTCATACCCAACAAATCCATTAGAATTCTGAGGTGGTAATGGGCATGATAGTCAAAGGAGAGCCAGTGGATATGATCTATTTGGATTCTGGATCTCAAAGGAGAAGACCTTTCACAAGGTGCTGCACAGGAGGCAGCTGAATAAGATAACAGCCCATGGAATTAGGGGCAAGGCACTGGCATGAATAGAAGATTGGCTGACTGGCAGAGAATAACAATAGAAGGGTCTTTTTCAGGATGGTAGACGGTGACTTGTGGGGTCCTGCAGGCATTGGTGTTGGGACAACAATACATCATATTACACATTAATGTTCTGAATGAAGGAACCGAGGGTATTGTTGTTAAGTTTGCAGATGACAAAGGCAGGTGGAAGGGTAGGTAATGTTGAGGAAGTGGAAAGGCTGAATACGGACTTTGACAGACTAGGAGAGTGGACAAAAACGTGGCAGATGGAATATAACGGGGAAAAGTGTACAGTTAAGCACTTTGTTAGGAAGAATAGAGGCGTAGACTACTTTCTAAATGGGGAAAGGCTTCAGAAGTCTAAAGCACTAAACAGACTTAGAAGTTCTAGTTCAGGATTCACAAAGGTTAACATGCTGTTTCAGCTGGCAGTTAGGAAGGCAAATGCAATGTTAGCATTCACATCAAGGGGTCTAGAATACAAGAGTAGAAATGAATTGCTGAGGCTGTGGAAGGCTCTGGTCAGACCGCATTTGGAATATTGTGAACAGTTTGGGACCCCATATCTAAGGAAGGATGTGCTAGCGTTGGAGATGATCCAAAGGAGGTTCACAAGAATGATCCCAGGGATGAAGGGCTTGTCATATGAAGTGTGGTTGAGGGCTCTGGGTCTGTACTCAGTGGAGTTTAAAATACTGAGAGGCCTGCATAGAATGGACATGGCAAAAAGGTTTCCACTAGTAGGAGACTACGACATGAGGGTACACCCTCAGAGTGAAGGGACAACCTTTAGAACAGATGAGGAGGCACTCTTTAGCCAGACAGTGGTGAATCTGTGGAACTCATTGCCTCAAAAGGCTGTGGAGGTCAAATCTTACAGTATATTTAAGACTGAGATGAATGGGTTTTTGATTGGCAAGCGAATCAACAGTTATGGGGAGAAGGCAGGAGAATGGGGTTGAGAAGCCATCAGCCATGATCGAATAGCAGAGCAGACTCGATGGGCCGAATGGCCTAGTTCTGCTCCTATGCTCTATAGTGTTATGTATCATTTTCTTTCTTTCAATAATGTTCTCCCTTTTGAAGGTGCTGGCTTGTGGCCCAAGTACACTTGCCCTGAGGTACCACATTCAAGCACGAGGTGTTACTGGGAATATCAGGTTATTCAACCGTGTGCTATTACAGCCTACCAGTTTTCATCAGATGGTCACACTTGTAAGCTTCTGTTCAAGCACCTTGATCAGGTGGATGAACTCTGGAGAATGCTTCCTTCCTTAACCTGGGGATGTTAACTTGCGCCAACTATAAATTTGCCCTGTCTGAAATATCAAAATACCTTGTGCAGGTTTATAAAATCTCGAGGGATATGGAATAGCCAAAGTCTTTTTCCTAGGGTAAGGGAGTCTAAAACTAGAGGGCCTGGGTTTAAGGTGAGAGAGTGGAAAGAGGCAACTTCTTCCCCACACAGACAGTGGTGCATGCATGGAACAAGCTGCCAGAGAAAATGGTGGAGGCTGGTACAATTATCACACTTAAAAAAAGGCATTTGGATGGATTTAATGAGTTGGAAGGGTTTAGAGGGATATGGGCCAAATGCTGGCAAATGGGGCAAAGTTAGATTGGGATACGTCGTTGGCATGTACGAGTTGGACTGAAGGGTCCGTTTCTGTGCAGTATGACTCTAAATCAGCGTACTCTGGAAGCCTATCAGGGGATCTACTCAATATATCCAGCTGAGCTATTGGATTAACAGAGCTAATTTAGAAACTAAAATCAGAAAGCTACAAAAATTTCATTCTTCTGATTGTAAACTTTAAATTGTTCATATTTTGTTAGATACTACAAAATACAATAGAAAATTACGGAGGCACTATCTTCCGTTGTTTCGGCATCAGATCTGAACTATTTGTTAACTCACTTTCAAATGAGAATCCTTCAAGTAGTCATATATCGTTGGACAATCTTGCAAAACGAAGCAACTCTCCACCCCTTTCAAGCAGGCGCAAAGCTGGTACTGCAATCACCTGAACAAAAACAAGATAGGAGAGGTTTACCACGTGACAAAGGAGGAATCCTAGGTTTGCACTGGTGATACAGAGCCTGGCGTATCAGCTGTGAACATTACAAAATTGCAGGTTCAGAAATAGCGGACAGGACTGTATGCTATCAGAATCAAACAAGAGCTGACTGAATACATGCAGCCTACAGGACCAGATACTCAAAGGGTCACAAACTCATATTTGCAAGTTTGTCTTACAAAAAAAAGCAAGGCGCTTTGCTTTATCTCACTCCACCTTATAAATTTGTTGTCCTATTTTAATATTTCAAACAATATCCTTTGTCACAGACGTTCCACAAATTATACTTCTATTTCACATGGGATTAAGTGAAAAACAGTCCCATTAGAAAGGACATAATATGTTGAGATACAAGGCAAAGGTGCCGAACTTGTGTTTGCTCTGGCATTTCCTGCCAGCATTCCTCTGCACTCCTGCTCTCGCAGCAATGACATGCACATCATAAATGTGATCATTCACAGTTACTGATCACTCTCCATTAATTGGCTGTTGTTCACAGCAGAGAATTTGTGAACTGTTTCACAGTTGATCTCAACTTGTCCTCATCCTGAAGCTACATTCCGCAGGAACTACTAGATAGCAAATTAACCTAGAGAGTTTGGCCGTCTGAACAATAAGAGAGGGGAAACCGGAGAAGGTGAACGGCTAGTTGCTGCTTCCTCAGCATGTTCTTGGGAAGGAGGTTGGGGTTTCACTATCAGGGAGGGAAAGATCCCTTCCCAATGCCGAGAGGAGTAAGGAAGGTGGCATCTTGTTGGAAGTGATCGAAATGTACAGGATGACCTCTTGATGCAAGACTAATGAGAAAGGGAACCCTAACGTGGTTCCACAGGGTGAAAAGAGGAGTAGTGACAGTAGATATGTGAGATATTGTTGTGGGTCTCATCATACACACTGAGCAGAAATCTTCAACTGAGCACAAAGGAAGGTATAATAGAAGCAGTGACATCGAAGGTGACACCAGGAAAGCAGCAAAATCAATCACATGCAGACCAGAGTGCAGTAACTATTTTCATCATTCCTGACCTCTCTGCAGCTGGACAAGGGCAACTGTACTATCATCCTGGAAATATTGTCCTTTACGGTTCAGCTTGCTAGGACTACCTTTTTATGGTTCCATGCTTATTTATCCAGTTGTAGCTGATACATCATCAATATTTAAAGTACCTGTCTCAGCACTACTACGTCCATAATCCTCCTTGGATCTACATTATACTTGTCCTACCTCCTGGAGTAAATATTTCCAGTTGGCGACAATTTACAGACACATGGTTAGCCTCCACATCTATGTTGATGACAGGCAGCGGCACTACTTTTTTCAGCCTGTCTTCTGCCTCCACGTTGAGAGATTGTGGAGGAAATCCAGCCTTGGATGTGGTGTCATTTCCTCAGCTGAATAATGGGAACACCAAAGCTCGCAGACTGGGTTTTGTGACAACTCCGTTCACCGTTGGTGCTCCTCTAAACTTGACAGCAACAGAGTCTGTCCATGCACAGTTAAATGTGGAAATTTGCAAGCTGTTCTCAGGGATTTGCATGCCACCATGGCTTTCATCGCTGAAGTGTCCCCCACAGAATGCAGTCATTGGGAAGTTACCAAACTGACGAGAACCCTTTTTGTGCTGTTATATGCTCCTTACATTTCAAAAACGACGGTATCCTCTAAGTGCAGTGTTACCACTCCTTCCCAAAAATGAACCAAAGTCAACATTCTTGCAAACTCTAGGCTCCCTTTCCTCACCGCAGACTTTGAAAGCCTCACCACATTTCAACTCTGCTTCCACTTTTCCTAGAATTCCATGCTTTGTCCCTCTGACATCCTGTGAATGTGACAAAGTCTTTCTTTTCTTGTCCTTCATGACCTTCCTGCAGCCTTTGACATGGCTGACCACACCATTCTCCTCCAATGTCTTTTCACTGTTGTCCAGCTGTAAGGGACTGTTCTTACGTGGTTACATTCTTTTCTAATCGCAGCCAAAGAATCACATGAAATGGTTTCTCTTCCTGCTCCAATACCAGTAGTTTTGATGCCCCACGAGTATTTATACTTTATCCCACCTATCTTTCATCTACACGCTACACTCTGGCAACATCCTACAAAGGTACAGTGTTAATTTTCTCATTCTCAACTTCCAGCTCCACCTCATGATTTCTTTCAGCTTCTCCACCGATACTAAATTACCAGATTGCTTATCTGATATACAGTACTGGATGAGCAGAAATTCCCACATTTAAGAACCGTTCTCCATAAACAATGGAGAAGTTATCGTTTTCTGTCCCCACTCCAAATCCGATTTTCTCTCTCTGGCAACTGCCTTGAGAATAAACCAGAGATAGTAGGAACTGCAGATACTGGAGAATCTGAGATAACAAGGTGTAGAGCTGGATGAACACAGCAGGCCAAGCAGCATCAGAGGAGCAAGAAAGCTGACGATTCGGGCCTAGACCCTTCTTCAGAAATGCAACCATGGTGTTACATTTGATCCAAACCCCCAAATTCATGTCACATTTATTTTATTGAGAGAATATCTTGACATGGTTGGCTGCACACTCTGTGTTGCTGGGTATTCAATGATCACTTGAATTGGTGCCAGGGTCAAACTGATGTTAGTAAGGTGAAAATCACATAGGAATACAGCAGCAGGAGTAGCCCATCAATAAGATCATGGTTTATCATCTACCTCAACTTTGCTGCATCATCTACATATTTCTTGATGTGATTAGCCTCTGGAATCTATTTCTGTCTTGAAAATGCTCAATGGTTAAGCTTTCACAGGCTCTGGAGTAGAGGATTTCAAAGATTCACCACCCTCCAAGTGAAGAAATTCCTCATTTCAGTCTTAAATGATTTATCCCATATATGTCCGCCCTGTTATAGGCTGTAAAAACTTGGCACATTTTAATGAGATCACCTTTCATTCTTTGAAACTCTAGGGAATATAGACAGTTTCTTTAATCATTGACCTTCCCTCCATCATAAAGGCAGAAGTGGGGATGTTTGCTGCAATGTTCATCACCATTTTTGACTCCTCCTCAGCAGTCCGTATCCATATGCAACATGACCTATATAATATTCAGGTTTGGACTGACAAGTGGCGAGTAACATTCGTGCCATACAGGTGACAGACAACCATCTCCAACAAGAGAGAGTCTGACCGTTATGCCTTGACCTTCAACAGCATCACCATCACACAGTTTCCCAATATCAACAAATGGAGGTTACCATCAGCCAGGGGACAAAAGCAGGTCGGGGTGAGGAATTCCATGGCGACTAAATCACCTCCTGTTTCCCCAAAGCCTGATGACCACCTACAATGCACAAGTCAGGAGTGTGATGGAATACTCCTCACTTGCCTGGATGGGCGCAGCTCCTAGAAGCTCATCACTATCACAGAGAAAGTAGCTCACTTGATTGAAATCCCATTTACCACTTTCAACAGTCACTCCTTTCGCCATTGATATACAAAGACAACAGCATGTACCATCTACAAAATGCACTACAGTAACTCACCAAGGCTCCCCTGGCAGCACCCTGTACCACCTAGAAGGGCAACAGATGCATGGGAACACTACCACCTCCAAATCTCCCTCCAACCCATCTCCATCCTAACTTCTTCCACTGTGCTGGGTCAATTTCCTGGAACTCCTTTCTGAACAGCATAGTGAATATCACTACACTCCAAGGACTGTAGCGATCCACGAAAACAGCTCATTATCAGCTGCTAGGCAATTAGAGATGGGCAATAAATGCTGGCTTGGGCATTCACATCCCATGAACGACTGAAAAAAGCTCTTCTCAAAAGACAATCGCACCATCCCAGGAATTAGTTTGGTGATCTTCTATGGCACTTTTCCTGCAACAAGTATATCCTTCCTTAAATAATGAGGCCAAACTGTACACAGTAATTCAGGTGTTAGTCTCACCAATAACTGCAATAAGACATTTTACTTTTAGACTCAAATCACCTTGTTTTACCAGTTGCCTTCCTAATTGATTGTTGCATGTTAGCTTTTAGGATTCAAACATGGACACCCAAGTCCCTTGGATACCACAGTTCCTGCCCTCTTCTCATGAGACATCTTCTGTATTTATTCACATGATATTTCATTTGTCATACTTTTGACCATTCACTAATCCCAGTCCCAGACACAGTCCAGTCACCTTGAAAACCCTCTGTATCTTCCTTACAACTTATAATTCCACCAGAGATTGCTAGTCATAGAGATAACATTTACTTGAGGTTTGCAATTAGTATTATCATTTTGCAACTGCCTGTAAAATCCAGACTATTGCCTTTGGTCACAACCACTAACGCTGACCATTAATAGTACTCAATCATCCTCTCCAGTTCCTGTTTCAGGCTGAACCAGACAATTATCAATTTTGGTATCCTGCTCATTTCCAGCTGAATGTCCTATCTCACACGTGCTCTCATCACAAAGACTGCCTATTGCCACCTTCACACTGTCACCTGCTTTTACCCAGGCCTCAGCCCTTTTGCAATGAAAGGCTCATCACTTTGCAGCTACCATCTTCAGATTCCACAATACTCACTTAACCTCACATCCCAATACTGCAAACTGCAGCTTATCTACAACTCGGTGTCCAGATTCTACCATACACCAAATCCTTACAATCACCACTCCTTTTGTTGACCCATATTGGCACCTGGTTCCCAATGCTTTCCATTTAAAACTCTCATCCTGTTTGTGGCTTCATTCCTCTCTGGTTCTGTAATTCTGTAACTGCCTTCAGCTTGACCTCTCCTCATTCACTCCAGTTCTGAGCTTTCAAATAAAAGCAAAATACTCGTGATACTGGAATTCTGAAAAACTGAAAGAGTGCTGGAGAAACTCAGCAGATCTGGTAGCACCTGTGGAGAGAAACAAAATTAACACATTTCAAGTCTGGTATCACATTTTTTTCAGAACTGAAAGGTGCTGGGAAATGGTATACCCATCTTGAAGAAGTTTTACATTTCTCTCTGACAGGATTTCAACATTAACTGTTTCTCTCTCCACAGATGCTGCAAGACCTGTGGAATTTCTCCAGCATTCTTTGTTTGTTTCCAACTTTAAACCCATTGCTCCTCCGACACTGGCCTCACCCGCATTTCCATCTTTCCAACCCTTCATCACTGCTAGCCCTTGATTGAAAGTAAGAAGTCACATGACACCAGGTTATAGTCCAACAGGTTTATTTAAAATCACAAGCTTTCGAAACGCTGCTCCTTCGTCACTTCACCTAAAAGCTTGTGATTTTAAATAAACATGTTGGACTATAACCTGGCGTTGTGTGACTTTTGACTTTGTCCACCCCTGTCCAACACCAGCATTTCAACATCTTGAAAAGTAATTCACTGCTATAAAATACTTTGCAATCCCATGAGGATGTGAAAGACTGCATATAAATGCGAGTTCTTTCTTTTTACAGCTATCAAGCTGCCTTCAAGGTTTAACCCAAGCAACAGCCTGGAGCTCATCTTACTGTGAGTTGCATTTACACTATGCTAACTCTTCTCATTACATAAAGCACAAACTTAAAACCATATAGAATTCAGAACGCCTTTAAAATTCTCAGAAACTTGTAAGTTTAGCCAAACAGCAATCCTTGTACTAGATGAGAAAATAGTAGTTAACTACTTGGGAATGGACTTGTGTACACACTGAGGATATAGATCTGACACTGGTAGCTGAGTATAAGCTTCAACCTTGAATGTTGTTCAACTAAAGTGAATTTCCAACATAATTCTTTGCTTCATGCAAATAACATCAGGTGACTATTAATGTTCCAGAGGGTATTTTCAAAACAGTTGCTAATCAAATATGGAGTAAGACGGGAGGCAGTTTACAGGTTAAGAGTTAAAGTGAATTTAATGACTGTAAACAGCAGAATGTTTAGTTTTTCTCAGAACTTAAATGACTATTCATTTATAGAATAATTAAGGCACGTCACTCTGTTTGCGGTTGCTTATTCTACCTTTTAGTTTTAATCCTTCCAGTAACTTCCAGAGTGGTGAAAACTCAAATTTTCACATATAAAATATCACAAACCCAACCATGCACTGATGTACTGTTTGCACATCCTTTTGATAGAGATATCAAAATTAATTTCATAATTCAAAGCGAGAAATAACTCAAACACACATTGAAACAGAAAACAAGATAAAGCCCAAGAGACTAAGATGATTTCAACCAGGGAGAAACCAAAGGGCTAATTGCAAAAGTTAAATAGAAAAGTTAAAAATGATTTTAACTCTAATTAATGCTTATCGTACATGTACAATTTTATCCAGTCATTCTAATTCTCGATTGTTCAAACCACCAAAAAGCATTTCAGGAGGATTAGGTCTTTGACTAATAAACTGACTAACGCTGTTCCAATGAATTACTTTGGGGCAACTTAATTTACAGACTTTAAATCAACTCACCAATTTTAAAAATATATCGTTTGTACCTCAAATACTTTACAATGTAAACAAAATTATAACTCTTTGAAATGAATTGCATCAAAACCACTCTTCAAGTCAACCTGGCCTAGTTTCTGCATTTTTAATTAAAACTTGGCACCAAACTAAAATTAGATCCAATGCCTATTAATTACTTCAGAAACGGTTGTGGGTATCACATAACTATATCGCGCGCATTGATCTACTTTTTTTAAAAAAAGTTGCAGTTTAGGCCCAGTACTTCCTTTCAGGTTAAATTTGAAAAGTGGTCCAGACACATTGCAGTGTAGCTGGAACAGGTTTTTTTTTGAAAAATGGTCTACTCAGAGGCCTTCAGTGCAACAGGCAAAGTTTACACCTAATGAGGAAGCCACCAGAAATAAAAATAAAAAGTAGCACTTCTATTTGGAGTCAGGTCTGCATGTTCTGTTTAAAAATAACATGAATTCCTGTTGTGCTCAAGGCCTCAAAATGTCCACCGAGTCTCCATTTGAGCAGCAGCCCACTCAGAGTGAGCTCTTGCTGAAGTACTTTCTCAGGTTGTTCCCTGGCAGCAAGCGTGAGGCCAAAACATGCGACAAACCGTCCCACCATTTTGAAAAGAAAAACACACAGGCCTCTAATGCATTTGATGATTCTCCCGAGAGATAGTAGACCTGAGGAATTACCTTTTTTTTTGTTCCTGAATTTCCAGGCTACACTCCTGCTGCAGTTACCATTCCCTACACGCAACGCACAACTAACCCTGCTCCACAGCACCACATAGCGGTGGCCTCAATCTACACACTTACTAATGGGCATCACCCTTCCCCTCTTTTACAGCAAGTTACTTCACTGCTTTTCACACCTTGAAGACCCAACCACAGCATTGAATCAACATCCCTGCATTAGATTGTGATATTTAACACTTTTATTTCCTTATTCGAGAGCTATACGTGGCAATTGAGCAGGCAAATAGAAGAATGCTTTTCTCAAGATTGGATCTTAAGAAACTATCTTCTACTTTTTCTCAAGGACCACTGGCAATGGTATGATTCCCCACCTGTTCCTTGGTCCGCATGGGCCATCATAGTGATTGAATTACCACAGTTCTTTTTTGTGGGGTGGGGGAGTGTAACCTTAAGATGTTTGGGTCTTCATCAATGCAGAAGTTGCACAGATGGCACCAGGCCAGTGAACGAGAATATGTTTATATCACTTGATCACAGGATTGAGCAAATTTGGCAAGGCTTGCAATTGTTAGCAATCTGCAACAGCCTTTGAGAAGATTATGGTGCGGTTGTGCTGTTAGGAGGGAGGTTCAGGATTGTAACCCAGTGACGCTGAAAGAACAGTGATGTGATTCCAAGGATTGTGTGTGGTTTGGAGAGGAACTTACAGCTAGTGTTGTTCCCGTCACTCATTGTTCATCCCCAATTGCCCATGAAAAAGTGGGGTGATGAGCTGACTTCTTGAACCACTGCCATTCATCTCTAGATAGGTAAACCCAGTGTGCACTTGCAGTGCATCTTGCAAACCGCATCAATATACTCCAGGGGTAAAGAGAGCAAATATCTAAGATGGTGGATAGGGGCTGTCCAGTGACCCAGTTCTAACTCTGATTTCTCTCCACAGATGTTGCCAGACCCGGTGAGCTTTTCCAGCAATTTCTGTTTTTGTTTCTGATTTTCAGCATCTGCAGCTTTTTGCGATTTTTATTTGAGTTAAAATTATGTGATGTGATTCTCCATCCATTTACAGTTTCTCCCTATTCGCTATGCTCCGACTACTCTCTATTTTCAAAGTTTCAATCAAACCTCTCAGACATCTCCTCTCCAAGGAAAACAGTCTAGGTTCTCCAATTTTAGATCGTAACTGAAGTGACTCATCCCTGGACCAATTCTCATGAACCTCTTCCGCACGGTCTCTAATACGTTCACATCCTGCCTATGATGTGGCACCCAGAACAGTACACAATAAGCCAGAAAAACTAATCAGTACTTATATAAGGTCATCATAACCGCACTGCTCTTAAACCTTTTGCCCATATTTATGTACTTATTAACAGCTGTCTTTACCTGTCTTGCCTCCTTTAATGAATTACATACTCAATCTCTCTCCTTCTGCACAACCTCTAGAATAATATCATTAGAGTGAATCTTACCAGAAATTGGATAAGGGTCATTTTGGCAGTTTCACGGAGCATTTCTCTCCATGAGCTGCTATCTCCCAAGCTCACCTCATTACTATGCATCACACCCTACACTGCTCCAACGACCTATTCTCCCACTCTCTGCAGATGGAAGTTTTCACCCTGCTAGAATGACCCAGGATCAATGGCACTGGCAACATCTTTGAAGCCCAGCCTTGCACCCAGTCAAGTGTTGGTAATCTGGAGTTGCCCTTCACAATGCACATAGTGGGAGAACAACAATAAACCAATGCTATTCAGGGTACATCAGTAGCATAGATGACACTTCATTGCACAAGCATGTGCACCTTGTTACATTTATTGCTGTTTAAGAGCCAAGCCATAGGGCTTACACATCCTTAACCACATCTCATCTTACCAAGCCTGACTAAGTCTTTCCTCAAAGCCCCATGTCTTATCGTTGTTTAATGTGGGACCATTACATACAGAAAAGCCTTCAATCACTTCAAAGCATTCACTTCTATTCGCCTCCAGCAAAAGTGAACTAAAAACAAACAAACAGAAGCTGTGTTTGCCTCTTGGAACAGAAATGCAATGTTTGCCTTTTAAGCAACAACAAATTTAACTGTCAGTGTGTGATTATTGCACACAACACTCATCTACTGGAACTACTGTCAAATAACTCCTGTCTGGCTTATTGCACTTGGCACTGCAGTACTCTACCTTACAGAAGATGATATATTTCCTGCTGAATGACCTTATTTTCATATTTAGAAGACTGCTCCTGCCCTCCCAACTCTTCCTTCAATGTCCATCACCTTACCTCTGCCTACTGCAGTGTACAGTGCATAGCAGCATGTGCCACACTCTGTCTACAGCAAGGCACCCACCCATGCCCCCCGACTGATCCAAGCATTGAACCTTATCTTCAGGAGGCCAATTTTAATTGAAGAATTGTATCTTTGCTGTGCCTCAGTCAGGAGTGTCTTGACATGAAGTCATCAGCCATGGTAGCCCTTATCTCCCAGTGACCATCCTTGTAGGGCATCCAGCTCTCAAAATGAAGCAGGAAGGATATAGGATACAGTTCTCAAGGATATCGGTATGTGACAACTACCAGGTAATGAGCACAAACTACCTAGAAATGTTACCGATGATCTTAGGCACATTGATGGAATGGGACCGTTCCTATTGATGACCTCAGCTACGTTATGATACGGCCCTCTCAGTGTGACGTGTTTACACTCTGTAATGCTCAGAACCCGGGGGAAGTTGGCAATGGTGACATTTTCCACCGTCATCCTAAATGTTATGATACAATGATCACTGTCCCTTAAATGTTTCCCGTTGTCACGAGATCTATTTAGCCCAACACATTCCCAAGAATCACACCTAGCAGTGTCTCCATTATTGTTGAACGGGACACATACTGATGTAGGAAATTCTCCTGAATACAATCTAGTAATGCTTATCCCCTTACACTACCGCTACCACATTCAATATATGTGTAACCAAAGTCCTCCATTATAACTACTCTATGACATTTACAACTCTCTGTAATTTCCTTGCAGATTTAGTCCTCTAAATCCTTTGTACTTGCTGGTGGTCTATATATTACACAGAACAATTGCACTTTTGTTTTTCTTTAGGTCAAACCAAATCAATTCCATCTTGACCCCTCTAAAACATCATCTTTTTCCGGTACTGCAATGCTCTCCTTAATCAAAAGCTTAACCTTCCTCCTTTTTCTCCTTTCCTATCTTTTCTAAACACCATGTGACCAGGAATCAGCTCTTCCTTAAGACAGGTCTCTGTTGTTGCTGCAATGTCATAATCCCTCTAGTCAATCTGTGCCTATAATTCCTCAATTTTATTAACTATACACTGTGCATTCACGTACATGCAGTGCATTATCCATTACTCTAACTCCATCTATTACCCTACCGTTCTCTATTTTAGCGTTGTTTGCCTCTCCCAACATTCTGTGCTTCCTGCTATTAGACTCTACATTAAACTGAGTTTGTTTAAACCCTCACTTAAAACACTAGCATAAAGCCTTGCAAGGAACTCAGTCCCAGCTCAATTCAGATGTATCTCATCGGGTTGTATCTCTCCCAAGACCAGTCCCAGTTCTTCAGGAATCTAAAGCTCTTCCTCCTGCATCATCTTTCCAGGCACATATTAATCTGCTGATATTCCCAAAAGTGGGAATCAGTTGTTTTTTCACTGAACAATGCGCAATGTTCAGCACACAACTCCTGAGACACTGCAAATCCAAACGTAGCAAGGTTTGGACAATATCCAGTTTTGGGCTGAAAAGTGGCAAGTAACAGTTGCCAGGCAATGACCATCTCCCCGTGACATTCAATGGCATTTCCATCAATGAAGACATCTACTCCAGAAATAACAGCACTCCTAACCAAAACGAAAGGACAAATTCATCGCAGCCAGTTACTGTCCCATCAATTCACTCAATAATTAGTAAAGCGATGAAATGTGCTGTTGACAGTGATATCAGATAACACCACAATTGACATCTTGGGGTTTACCATTGACCAGATACTGAACTAGACCAATCACATAAATGACATTTCCACAAGAGCAGACTAGTGACTAAGAATTCTACGGGAAGCACCTCCTACCTCTTGAAAGCCTGTCCTCCACCTACAAGGCTCAAGTTAGGAATGCAATGGAATGTATTATCGTCGTGGAAAAAGTCAAACTATCCATTTTAGCAGTCGATTTTCAGATTTTTAACACCTGGGATCTTTCATTGATTAAAATGATGTCAAAATATTAAAAAGTATTGACCTAAAATGGCCACAGTGACGATCCAACCACAGGTTCAGCCAGCACAAAAAATCAAGAAGGGTCTAGGCCCAAAACGTCAGCTTTCCTGCTCCTCTGATGCTGCTTGGCCTGCTGTGTTCATCCAGCTGTACACCGTGTTATCACCAATAAACAAGAACTGGTCTGAATTGAAATTAACATCATGATTGAAACCAGTCACCCAGAACTTGTTTTGTGGTAGATCAACACCTTTCTGGATAAGTTTCACAAACTGGAGGAGGGGGCAGTGCGGGTCAGTATGTGATGGATGCAGGAGGCAGCCTGGCTGATGCCTCCTCTGAGTCCTCAGTAATCTCGTCATCAAAGGTCAAGGAGGTAGCTTCTGGGAAGGCTGGCCGTTTGGCCATGGTGTTTTTGGAGATGCTGGCTGTTCCTGCAGGACAAAGGAGAGAATGCTCGTGGTCAATGGTTAGAAGTGGCTGATTCAGGTGGGGGTAAGGTGGTGAGATGTTGTGAAGGAGTGAAGAGGCAGCATGGAGGGCGTGTAAAGGTCATGGTTTGGGATTCTTGGAAACGGTGATATGCTAAGAGTGGGTGAGGGAAGATGTTGCCAGTGACAGTAAGATTGACGGCGCATAAGTCTTGGTGGGAGGTGGGTGCAGTAGCAGTGATGGAATGAGTGAAGTAGTGGAGAGAAGAGTGTGACACTTATGCTGACACAGGGCATTGACCTTCTTATGGCACTGCTGGCAGTCCTACTGCATCCTGAAGGTAGCGTTGACCCAGGTGGCAGTCTTGTACCAGGATGTCAGGGTCTGGTGGCATGACCTTTTCCGCCATTCCCCATGGAAGAGGACTCCTTTCCTTTGCTTCACCTCCCA